GTTCAGGGTTTTACAGTTCGGGTTTTAGGGTTTGGGGTTTAGGGCTTGGGGTTTGGGGTTTAGGGTTTGGGGTTTAGGGTTAGGGGTTTGGGGTTTAGGGTTTAGGGTTTTGGCGGTTGCTTGGAACGATTTTCCGGAGCACACCGCCAGCTACGGTGAGACTATCCTTTTCAGAATATTGGCTGTAGCCACCAGTTATTCCAAGCAGTGCCACCGAAACTGTAGCTTTCCCTGAGAAAGTTTCACGATGTAGCAAGGATGCCCACAGTACTGGGCTATGACCCGTTAATGACTGGGTATATCCCTCCAGGCCTTGCGGTGCAGGGTCTGGGGTCTAGCATCCGATTCGGGAAGTCCAGGGTGAAAAAGCACAGGTGGTGAACTCAATCTCGGAAGTAATCCGATGACCTAAACCCTAAACCCTAAACCCCTAAACCCCTAAACCCTAAAGGCTAAATCATCAACCCTGGAAAATGCGTGTTTTTCAACTCAGGGTCAAAGGGCTCCCTTGTAGGACGTAGGGTTGCGGACCCTGAGCTCAAAACGACCTCGACAGGATCTCCCGGTTTTGGGTCTTGGGGCTTGGGGTAGGCCAGGGTTTAGGGGTTTTACGGGTTTAGGGGTTTAGGGCTTTAGGGGTTTATCGGGTTTAGGCTTTTAGGGGTTTAGGGGTTTAGGGTTTAGAGTTTTCTTTGCGAGCCGAAGTGTTTCCAGAACGCGACAAATCCACCAATTTCCCAGTCACTTCATCGAGACTCCTCGATCATTGCACCCAAGCCACCACAGTTTCGAGAGCACATGACCGTTCCCGAAGGTTCGGAGACTGCGCCAATTTCTGCGGCCAGCACCGGCCTCGGACAGTATCCTTTCATGGTTTTGATGGGCACAGGGTTTGCCAGAAGGGTTTCCACAAAGGTTGGACAAGGGTTCCTGCTTCCCTCCCCCTCCTGTTCCTCCGCAAGCCGGAAAGGTGCTTCCACCGGGGGCTGATCCACGTCTGCTGGAGCCAGCTGACTGAGTTTTTGTGAAGCTTTGCGTAGTATCCGGTATCCTGCTGAGAAGTGCAGGGCAAGCAGTGATGCTCATCTTCGGCTTATATAACCTTAGTACTGTAACACTGAAACAACCCATCAAGAGCACTTTTCGGAACCAAAAGCTTCAGAAACCCCAAACCACCGAATCCGCAACTCGAGGTGTGCGTCGGTTGATAACTTCCAGGGCCGGGAGAAGGTAACTCGGCCAGTGAAGCAGAGGGCTTCGAATACCCATTGGTCTTTAAAACAGGTTTGTGGATAAGGAGGTTGTAAGGGCTTAGTAGGGTTTTGACAAGGGCTGTGTCATGGCTCACGAAGTCCCAAAGACCCTGCTGGATTTTGTGAGTAAACAAGTTCGACAACTTCCCACGAAATAGTGGAGGGTTCTTAGGAGGGGGGAGGTATGCGGGGACCTTAGGGTTGAGGGATGTAGGGTTGAGGAGTTCAGGGTTTATGGTCGAAAGTGTTGAAAAAGGGTTGTCGACGTGGATAAAGACGAGTTGGTGGACATCTTCGAGTCTTTTGGCAGACGTTCAAGATGATGTTGTATGGCTGAGTTTCACACGTGCTGCTGAGAACATAGTTCGCGGTGTGTTCATGAATGCTTCAGCGGTGCTTAGTCTTTTGATATGCCTCATCCACGGGATGATCCGGGACATGCATTACAGGTACAAATTACGCCTTCACAGTGTTGGCGCTGTGTAAACCATATTTGACCCAGGCCCATACTGATATCATAATGTAGAGGCCGTAATAATTAGAATAGGGTTTCGGGGTATGTTCTACTATAATTTGAATTAGGAACCCCTAAAATAGTATTCTTTCTTTCTTTCCATGGTGCTTAGTCCCAGTCAGGACGAACCGCTAGCAACGAATTCAGGGGTGAAACAGAGGGAGAGGGCATGAGGCTCCGGAGAGAACTCAACAGAGCGCCCAGTCCAATGAAACAAGATGCCTGCCGTCTGAGCAGAGAGGCCCAAACGAACGACACAAGGGCGGCCTTGGCTGGCCAATTCCCAAGCCGCACGGAACCACGCAAGCAGGCGAGACAGCCACACAAAGTGCAATCGCTGCGACCGCAGCGGGCAAGCAGGCAGGGACCACAGGTCAACACAGGGCACCGGGGGCGGCCGAAACGACACAGCCAAGCAGGCGACCAAATCCAGGTCCGGAACCTCATCGCCGAAAGAAAGTCCCTTCCAAGAGAGGCACAGGTCACGCAGTTCTCCGGCCTCCTCCAGACAACATCCAGCTAGAAGCCCGATCCCGCTTGCAGGCCGAAGGTTCACTGGGAATGCTTCGAACACAGGGCGAAAGGAGGCCGCACGGATCGTCACGCGGAAGTGGGGCCGCCGACGAAAACTCACAGAGCAAATCTACCCTGAAACACAACGTCAGCAGCCATCTCCTTAACAGGCCCATCCTGAAGTTCGTCAACCCAAAGACTCAGGGTAGGGTTTTGGGGCTCCTGATACTACAATGATAGTAAGGAACCCCAAAAGACTATTGATAATTATTTAGGCCCTACATTAGTCCTGCTGGTTATGGCCGGTTCGACCGAGAACCCCGAATCCCCCAAGCCAGGTCTGGGGGGGTTTTGACACAATCCTAATCAAGCACCCCTGAAATCGTTCAGCCCCCAAACCCTACACCTTGACCTTAAACTCCAAAGCACTAGCCCTAACTCTGGAGTGCAGCTGTGCCGGCGGAGTTTAGAGTATTGGGGTGAGCACTACGGTGGGGCCCTGATGATTTTGTTGCTGGTTGCCGCGAAGCTCGGGTGACATGTACTTTACTTTACGGCCTTTGGATTGCTGGGTTCGGAGACTAGGAGAAGAAAACTCGAAGCAGGGTCCCAAAGAATCTCCGTAATGTAGGGGTCTAGGGACCAACGCTGGGTGAGGGTTCTACGCAAACTATGGAACTCCACCCTCACAAAGTTCTTGAAGCAAGAACTGGAGATGAAGGATGGAGCCAGGGCCTCGTCCGATCGAATATGGAATCGGGCAGTTGACTTAACTTGTCGCATATTGACTCAGAGCTGGGTGCGGTTGTAGGTGCGTGATAGCAGCGTCTCCTCGAATATCCACATGGCTGATCGAAGTTCACGTGTTTCATTACCTGTTAACCTAGAAGCCACCGTCCGTGGCAGCCTCGAGGCCTTCTGGCGTAAGCTGGAGAAGTTCATGGGGCTCCCAGCTCGTCGCCGACGACAGATCTTGGCGAAAGCCGGGTTGTATGTCTACAAGGCTGCTCCTTGTAGCCGCTTCCCGCCTTCCCTTTATCGGCTTATGCAAGGCCGACGGGCGAAGTGTGTGAAACACATTGTCCTGCAGGAAGCGACGGCGGATGAATCCGAAGAATCTGACGAAGGGGAACAGGAGCCGCAGGCATCACCGGTGTGTACACCAGTCGCTGCTGCTGACCTGTGCTACGTCTCGCGTGGCCTTGCAGTCCTTCGAGCATCCTTCTTATGTGTGGAGACCATGTTACAGCCTCCATACAATAGGGAACGGCGCCCAGTAGGAGCCGCAATCCTGCGTGCTGTCTGCGACACAATTGAGAGTATTGTAGCTCAACGCATTCCAGCCAGGCTTTTCGATTTTTGGTTTAGTTCGGGGTGCGCCGTGCAGGCTGGTCCGGGTGGAGCCGCCCTTCCCAGACATATGGAGCCTCGCCTCTACTCAATCTGTTCTTGAACTGTTAGTGCGGTCCGCACAATGCAAAAGGACAGGTGAAAAGAGAGAAAGATGCGGGAGCGGGGTGGTCGATGTTACGGACAGGTACATGAGATACCTTGCAGATCATTGCTTTGAGTCTCTGCCGCATGTTCTTCCTGTAGCGAGGTTGCTGCGGCGAGTGACACCGATGCCAGCAGTGATAGCGACAGCTCCAGCAGCAGCAGTGATGCCGGCAACAGCAGTAGCTCTTCGAGTTCGAGTGGTACCGGTGACACCAGCTCTAGCGACGACGAGGAGATGGAGGACGACTGTAGCGAGTGGGGTGGGGCGGGGGGAACATGGCCGGATGGAGGTTGCACGTCATGGCCGTGTGTGAGGTTTGGGGAGCGATATAAGTCTCTGTTGTGCCCAGGACCTCTGGGAAGGAGGTTTCCAAGGTCGAGCCGTCACTCTTCGTGCCCATGCTGCTTGCCATCTCAGCAGAGAGTTGCGCTGCGACATCTACGTCTGTGACTACGGGCAGAGGACGTATAAGGCTGCTGGCTGGCATCTGCTCGTGTTCGATCCTTCAGAAAGTGGACCGGCACAGACGCTGGCATCGAAGTCGGAGGGGTCTAGGGAAGGCAGTGCAGTTGAGCGTACGGCCGTGTCGCTCCGGAGATATAGACATATCACGCTGACGCTGACTGGTTCCTACAGTTAGTGATGTTGGAGGTTGTTAGAGGGCGCTTTATTCCTGCTTTCGACAGGGTCCAGTTGGTTGCGTGTCATCTCGTAGCTACTCCGCTTTCTGTCTTTGGTGTGTGCCGGGGCGGCGGTTCGACCGCATCGGCTGCAGCGCATCTATATCTCGACCAGGTTGGCCGGCTAAGTTGTATTTGCTGGTAACCCGCGAGAACGGCAAAGCTTACTACGCCGAAAAGCGGCTCGAGGAGTCGCCTTCGGCCAGGTGGGCACGCCAGCGAGCTTTGTTGGGTCATGACTTGCACTTCAGGTTTTGGCCGTGCATCTACTAAGCGTAGTGATGCTCGGACGCGGGAGGTGAGGTGGCTACTTGCAGCAGCAGAGACCGTGGAGAAGGCGTACAGCCGAATTGCCCTGTTGCTGACTCCTTCTGTCCTGAAGACGTTGCCGGCCTGCATCGACATTGAAGTTATGCCGAAGGATGCCTTCCTCAACCGAGAGGCTTGCACGTAGGGTCCCTGTCGAGTGCGCATAGCCGATTTCGAGTAGATGCTAGGGCCCGTTCCCGTGCATGTTCCCTGTGGCAGTTGAACTTGGAGTTCAAAGACGGCCAAGCGGAGTTGGGCATTGAGGCTGCTCGACAGCTCGGAATCTGTGAGCTGAAGGATGAGATGAGGTGGCGAACCAGGCGCTACGTCTTCAGCATCACACAATTCCGTGGACTACTTTATGCGCCATCCTCCGATGAAACGGTCCTCGTCGCCGGATAGCAAAAGATGAACTGTAGATCACATGCCTGATAAAAGCCTTGCGTGCCGTCTTTCGTAAGTAAGGTCAAGGGCAACTTCTGCATCGATCCTTCTCTGGGCAATAAAGTGGTCCTGCCGCATACATCTGTCAAGATCCGGAAGCAGGGGAGGTGTGACGAGTTGCAGTACGGGATCGACGTTGTCCGCACCACCGACAGGGCAATGAAGTCACCAGGAGCTGTGCTTGTCGACATTGTCGTGCAAGATATGCCAACGTGTATCGCTGCACCATCGCTCGATGCTTGAGGTCTGACCGTGAATGCCGAAGTCGATTAGTCGTGATGCCCTGCAGGGATGTCTTATTTCCTGCTGGCGATGCTGCGGCTACGGGCGCTCTGTGTGCCGGACGAGCAGCAGCGGCGCGACATCCAGCAGAGCCTGTATTTAACTACCTATATTGTTTTGGGGGCTCCTTATTGTTATTATTATAGTATTATGGGCCCCAAAACCCTATTGCAAATTATTGATAAAGGCCCCTACATTACCTTGAAGCTCGGAGACTAAATTCCAGAATCTTGGTTCTTCATGCTTTAACTCCATGCCCCGTGCTTGAAAGCTGAAACCTCAGAACCCCAAACCTGCCTCAACCTTAAACCTTAAGCCCTAAACCCTGAACCCCGAACCTGCCTAAACCTTAAACTTAAACCCTAAACCCTAAACCCCGAACCTGCCTAAACCTTCAATTTAAACCCGAAACCCTGGACAAAAAGAGGAGCTCATCGTTTTTTCCGCCGTCCGCAGCAACCGAGCTGGCCCGCTCCTCAAGACGTGGTGCCTCGTGACTTCGTGGGCTTAGGCTTTAGGGTTTAGGGTTTAGGGTTTAGGGTTTGCGGTAATGGGATAGTTGGGGCTTTGGGTCTAGGGTTTAGGGTTTTCTTGCCGAGGGGTTTTGGGAGTTTGGATTTCGGGTCCAGGATGGTCCAGGGTTTAGCGCTCTATGGTCTAGGCATGCTGGGATTCGGGGGCTTTGGGTTTTGGGGTTCAGCATTTTCTGTTGGGGGCGGGAAGGCAGACAGGCCGTAAACGGCAGGAGGCAGGACCCTAAACCCCTAAACCCTAA